CATTGTCCCGTAATTCTGGCAATGCATCCATCAGGGTTACTATTACATTGTCCTGTGATTCTGGCAATGCATCCATCAGGATTACTATTACATTGTCCTGTGATTCTGGCAATGCCTTCATTAGGGACATGTCTTTAATACTAACCTGAGATGAAACTTTTCTGGAGACAGATGTGTTTTTTGCTTATGTAGTTATTTCTTCTATAGTTATTGTTATACTTCACACACACACACACATTGAAATATAGTTAATATAAAGCATTTTCCAATAAGTATACACTCTACTATTCTATTATTATACCATTTATAAGTTCTAGAAGTAAAGCTTAAACACTACTACAAATGTAGCACTGAAACGTACTGTATTAATTCTACAAGTTACAGTTTATTTACAGTTGCTAGACTTCTATCGTATTATTACTAGAATATATTGGAATTACTCTAGTATCACTGTGACTTATACAATAAACTATAGGAACTTCTTGTAAAGGATGTATGTCAGGAATGTTATATATTATGTAACTATGATAGGGATGGTATACATAGCTCAAAGGGTATTGTTCTCTTATCTTAACCGACCTACTATGAATTTATTTGTATTTAATAGATATTTTTATCTTATATATTTGGCTAAAGTATCAGTTTTCAGTATTATTTCACCAGGCTTTGTAGAAATGTAGATTTGCAAGTGAAGGTCAGCTTTCCCCTTTACATAAAATTGTCTTTGTCTCTGAACTTTTGTTGTTGTTAAAGTTTAAGGCCCCTACAGCTGTACTATTGCGAGCTGGTACTTAGTCCATACCAGCAGTATGTGTTGTCACATTTCAGCCAAAAGTATTTCACATCATAAACCAACATTGAGTTACTGTCTTACAATTCAATTGATAAATATTTCTATATTTTCATGTAACTCAGTGGGTAATGTTTTAACTTTGCATTTGTGGGATTAAACTAGTCTTTAATGTCTTTCATTTCAATTCTTTTTAAAAAAAATAAACTAAATGAAAAGTAAACATTGATTATGAAATTTTTGAATTATGACAAGTCAACAAAACAAATCACTAATTATTTAAAGATTTAGAACACAGTTAAGAGAATGACATGATGTAGTTCAACTTGGCCAAGTTGTGGTTTCTAAGTATCAATGGTAAAAAGTAGATTTTGGTTTCCTTTGATTAATTTCTTCTGCTAGTTGTAGAGCATTGTTTTACAGAAGGGCTAATGTTGATTCCATCAAATATTAGAAGTTTAACAAATGAAAGTATACAATAAAAAGGAATATACTAATTTATATTTTCACTACAATAATCTGAAATAATATCTTCACTTTCGTTTATTTATTCTTAGCTTATATGTTTAAAGTAAAAGATTTATTTTGTGTATTGAAATAATTTTGTAAAAACAATTGAGAAGTTTAACACTATTAATTTTAAATGTATTATTATATTGGATTCTTTTGACTGGATATAAAAAATGACATGACATTAATATTTCAAATAATTTCATCTAGAGATAATATCTAACTTGATCAGCATTGTGGTACAGATTATTGCAGTCTGATTGATCAACTTGAGTGCTGTTTATAATAAAAGCTTCGTCCTATTTTAACTATGAACTGTATTTTTTTCTGAAGTAACAGAAGTAGAATAGAAACATTATCTACTTCTCATTATGTGTAAAAAAAGTATATTTGAGCAAGGTTTCATAAGTAGTTGTTGCTTATCATTTCTTATAATATTCTTTCTTTTTTAAATTTTCAAATCATTGTTTTGCCAATCAAATAAATTTCATAATATTAAAATGGCATATAGAAATGTTTAATATAGTAATCCAAAACTGGATATGTTTAAAACCATCAGGTCCCCAGCCGGTGGACAACTTTTGTAGAAAGAATCAAGCAGACAGCAACTGAAGACTGTCATAAGTTTTATATGACAGAGATGATGGTATTAAATGAAAAGTACAGCAGTGGACCTGTAAACATGCAAGAACTTGAGGTAAGAATTAAAAGATACAGTTGTTTTGTAATAGTTTTTTATTCTGCTGTTTATGCTACTGCTAATGCTTTATTTTGTTCTTGTTGCTCAGGAATGGCATAATCAAGTTTTCCAGAACTCTCTGAAACTACTAGAACAACTTTTGAAAGGGTGAGTTGAATTGTTTCTTAACAGAATTTCATAATTTATTTATAACGAGAGCCTCTTTTTATAAAATACTGCTTATAATAAGTAGACTAAGTACAAATAATGAAACCAAATATAATTTGTCAAATAAATCATGAGCACTTTGTAAAAATACAGTGACAAATATCTTCTTATGCTTTATGTAGTAACAGATTTCAACCAACATAGAGTGTTGATAGTAGACACACAATTGTACTGCATTTAGATTTTAGTGAATTGCTGCTTTTTAACATTTTTGAGTTGCTTGTGTTTAAAACAATAAAAATGTATGTAGCACATAGCAATTTCTCTTACAACATGTTAAAATATGAAAATATTTATAATGTTTTGAGCTTTTTGGAACTGCAAGTATGTGTTTGTTCTTCTCTTTGTTTTTATTTATATTACCTAAGTCTAACTTGTTTATTATGGAAGAAATTAATTTGAAGCACGAAAAAGCTAATATTACTTTCTACATTATTATGTGTATTGGTTCAAATATAATTTGATTTTTCTATTACAGTCTTATAGTAAGCATAATGTTAAAATAATAACTAACACAACATTAAAATGGGTACACAATTAAAAACATCTTTAATTAAGACCAATTTATGGCCTCCAAAAAGTTGACTCTTAGATGTTTTGACATTATAGTGTCATATTTATGCCTAGTTAAAAAAAGTATAAATATGACATTATCATGTCTTGATAGCAAATAGTCGCTGTTTAATTAAATGTCAAATTTGGTAAACTCTACTGCAAGGTCTACTCATACTAAAATGTTAAACATTAAATTCACACTTCTTCACATTATAATTACTCTCACAGTACCTAGTTAATAAGTAAAATTTTTCTTTGTGTTTATAAACATTTACAGGTCATTATTTAGAACTTCAGTTATCTAAACATTTGAAAAACTTTCCAGTTCTGTTCAAACAGAATTTAAAAACAAACTTTCTTACAATTTGTTTATTCTTTAGACTTGAAGAAACTGCTGAAGAAGCTAAGCACAAGTTGACAGAAAATATTCAGCAGTTTTATGTAAGAACCAAAGACATAAATGAAAAGAAAATCAGGCTGCGTTGCTCAGAGCTGCTGAATAAAATGGAGGTAAACTAGAAACCACTTGAATGGTATTTTTCAAACTTAAAAACAAGAGGCTCACTGATATCTCCTGATTTATTTTTTTTTTTCTTTTTCACAGTGAAAATATCTAACCTTTTAAATTTATGTAATTGCTGATCATAAATTTTCATTTTATATGTTAAGTCCATTTCAACTTGATTGATTTGAACTAATATATTTCTTTTCAGACTGTTTTGCCAATTCCAGATATAAATCACAAAAAAAAACACAAATTGACAAAGATATATATCATTGACTTAAGAACTGGCTTTTCAAAACAATGTCAGGTCAGGTTAGATAACAATATTTTTGCTAACAATATAACAATATTGTTGGTTGAAATCAATTTATATCTTATAACTGTTCTTTGTTTTCATTAAATTACAAGTTATTTATATGCATTGAATATGATAAACATAACAATAATGTTCAATAAATAAGGATTTGAGTCAATGGAATATTTTGCTATCACTAGTTTGCCCCTGAAGAAGAAAGGTCTACCTTTCGAAAGCACTTAGTTTATAGGGTTTTTATCATTTAGCTATCACTACTGTACTCTCTAAACTTATTAAGGCTTACCTGATTTCTTCTAGAAGAAAATTGGCATAACTTTCAAAATAAACATAACATTTTCAGGAATAAAAAGAACATCTAAAGAAACAAAAAAAAATCCTAGACCTTTAGTTTGTTCCAAAATTTCATTCTTCTTTGCTGGAGCTACATATAATCACTTTCTTACAAAACCATAAATTACTTCTCTTTACATTGATTTCACTGGTTAATAAGTTGTTATATCCAAGAGAATCTAAACTTTGCCTGTAGCTGTTGGTCATTAGTAATTTTTCCCACCCCCTTTTAATCATCTCATAGCCTATATAATAAATCTTCAGAAAGAGAAAGAAACTCTTGAGAGAAACAAGACTTGGTTCACTGGTTTCTCAAGGGATGATAGTTTTTGATTAAATATAATCCTCTTTTGAGATGAGCAGAAAAAATCTACAATTTACAAGGTGAAACTCCTTGGAAATTTACAGAAATATAATTTTACCATTTTTTTTCTTTGTGAATTGGACTGAATAAATGTTACAAAATATCAATTATGAAATATTTTTTAGCCACAAATGGGGTTGACACAGAGTTAGAATTGATATTTTTACTTAGATTTTGAAATTTGATATGCAGGTGTGCTTTTTACACCTGAAGAATGCTCACTGACTGTGATAGGTTTAAAGCAAAATTCTGGCATTAATGTAGAGGTAACTTGATCTCAGAATCTCATCCATTTACTCACTGAATGTATGAGACCCTCACTGACCTAAAACAACATAGCAACATGCTGGAAAAGATAATTCTAAGGAGGTAGCTAGAAATTTTGGTGCAGAGATAATATCCAGAGCTGGTTGGGTATTTGCATTTACACAGGACCAAGAAAACAGTTCTGATTCCCATGTAGTCTTGCAACAATGTATAGAATTTTCTCTATTTTCAATACTTCATAATAATATTTTTGTATCTTTCAAATTTTTATGTTGGAAAATTTTTCAATACTACACTGCAGTTGACTTTAGATAAAGCAACTCTTAATGTTTCTATAAACTGTAAGTTAAAATATGAGATTTTTTAGGAAAACAGTAGATAATTATATGTCATTCTTTCTTAATGCTGCTCTACCTAATATTTGTACACACCTGTTATGGAGTTCTTTAAAGCACTTAAAATCTAATCTAAAATTGGTTTGTATAATTCAATCACATTTAACAAAAAATTTAACAAATAAATATTATTTTAGAATAAAAATATTTCAAGAACCATAATCAACTTTTACAGTTGAAGCATTTTAAAATTAAAGTAATTGAGATCTTACAAAAATATGATAAACTTGTAAAATTTTAATTTGGAAAACAAAAATATTCTTCCAACATTAGTTGAAGTATTACTTAAACTTGAAAACTCACCTTTCACTGACCATGATTCTTACATTGCTCATTTCATATTGGAACTATAACATTGTATGTGCTTAAAACACATGTTCACACTTTTAATTATGTATTTTGGGAACTAATTTTGTAATCAGGTTCAGAAACTTGGATATGCAGAGTTGAAACTTTTGTCTTATAAGCTTTTTTTATCTTGTTCTTTTTTTAATGCATTTTTTTTCTTGATTTTGCAACTGCAAAATATTAAATTAATACTAAGCTAATTTTGGATGTATGCAATTTTGGAACATTACCAACATTATAGTGTTCTACAGTATTTATTTTTATTTTAGTAATTAATCTCAAAGTAGTCGTTATTTAATTTATTAGAAGTACTATATATTTATTTATTTATAAAAGTAAATTTAATTTTAAGTCAAAGGTTTGTAAATTAAAAAAATCCTTTAACTCTAGCATAAACTGCTTTTAAATTATTATTTTAATTATTTGAAAATTCTTAAAATTTAGATAATTATAGATACTAAGCAACTGGTGATGATTCACTAAATACCCATAAATAACTGCATCCCTAATGATATTTACAACGTTTTTATGATGAATTCCCAAAAAAAGGCATTGATCCAAGTTTAAGTTGTGTTACTAATTTGCTAATTTAAACTATCAATTCCATAAAATAGTAATGAAAAATTATACAACTTTATGGATTAGCTCCTCAAGGAATTAAACTATTTGCTGTGATGGTAGGTTATTACTAAAATAAGTTATCTGTGGGACTGATACATAAACACGGAAATTAATTTGTGTGAGAGTGTGATACATAAAGATACACAAATTAATCTGTGTTGTGGCCTAGCAGGGCTTGATCATTGTGGCACTGTGGGTCATGGTTTTGAATCCAATTATTGAACATGTTTTCCTTTTGGCCATGGGCTCATTATAATGTGATCATAAATCCACTTTCTGTCAGTAAAAAGTAGCCTAAGAATTGACAGTAGATGGTGTTGACTAGCTGCCTTCCCTCTAGTTAGTCTATTACTTCTAAATTTGGGACAGTTTTGCTCAGATAACCTTGTTTGTGTGTTTATAGTATTAATGTAACATTTTTGCAATGGATTCAAGAATTGTTATGGCCTCTGTAATGTTTTTCTTTAATTTGTACAAGTTGGATTTCCAAGTCTACGTTAAAATATTTTTATTTATGTTGCATGTGAAAGATTTAATACAATGTCATGTGATAAATAAAAAAAAAAAAGTTGAGGTATATTCATGCTTTATAGCCAAATTATTATTGTAGCAGGAAGATGCATTTGCACATTGCCAGCTACTTATATGCATATTTTATTTACAGCTGATTGCTGAAGATTCATTACGAGCACTTTCCTTGCCAGTCCCAAGTTCCACTTTACATCATCAAATAGCGGAAATTATTCATGATGCACAGGAAGGCTTCAGGAAAGAACTAGGTGATCTAGTAGTTCCAGAAGTGAGGGAAAAATATTTGGCTTATTTGAGAGTAAGTAATTATAAATGTATGTTATAAAAGCTTTGAATAGTCTATATAACTTACTTACTACTTCAGAATTACTGAACTTTAAGATCAAATAAAGCTGCCTACAATTCCATTTATTTATATATATATTTTTCAGAGAAATACAATTAACTTTCCAACTTAGACAAGCAGGGGGTCTATAGATTCTTGAGGATAGCAGCATCGTATGACTTGTTTCTCTTATGAAGCTAGGATGCATGGTTGGAGGCTTTTACATACCAGCCTTTACAAGTGAAAACAAAAGTTTTTTAAGTGAAAAAATAATTTTTTAGTCAATTGTTTCTACTTAAAGCTTTTCCTTTTTGACTGCTTAACTTCAAATACAGCAATCATGTCCATAATAAATTTTTGAAATTTCTTATGCTACTCATACAAAAACACAGTAGGTAGGTCATGTTAGGTAATCAGCCATAGGCCTTGATTTATTAATCTCAAAAATAAGAAATGTAACATGATATTTGACCATGTGGATTTTTGTTAATTTGCTTCTAAAAACCAATATGTAATAGAATGGATGTGTCCTAGTATGATTACACAAAATTAATACTCTTTCCACTTTTATGTTTGTAGGCTAAAGGTAAATATTAAACAACCAGATGTGCCTTGGATACAATAATGAATTAATTTTGTAAACTTCCATTTATTAACAGAAGTTGTATATTGTGAGAAATGAAACTCAAAGAACTTTACCTCAATGTGTGTATGTGTATTTTATATAAAAGGTTATTCAGTGCTACCATTAACCATATATAAATAACATGCGAGCAAGTATTGTATTATTATCCAGATGAAACTTTATATATCATTTTCTACACTTAGTATAATAATAATAAAAATACTGCTAGTTAGTCATGGCAGTGTAAGTAAAACTATGTGGTTCTTGTGGAATTAACACTAATCTGGAATTTATACTTATTTTTCACAAACTATGTATTTTCAATAATTATTTAATTTGAGACAAACTTTGGTTAGTAAACAACGTTGTGGTTTAATTTTTTATCAGGATAATATAATTACATTTAGTTTATTATCAACCTTAGAATGGTGTGATTAAATATATTATCAGTGTTCAAATGATGTGATTTCATTTATTATCAGTCTTTTAGTGAGGGATTATCCCATACATGTTATTACAGAAGTAAAATTGTATGCATTAACAAATCTGTTCAATATAAAATTTTTAAAACATTATAAAAGAAATGCAGGCTTTAGCATATCAGTTTTTTCTTGTAAATTGTATGTTTTTTTTCTCTCTTCTACAGAAAACAATTCATAATTTAGGAGAATCTTTTCATCTACAGAACTCCAAGGCTTTGGAGTCAATGTTTCTGGATGGAATAAATTTAGCCATAGGTCAGTGACCAAATAGTTGTAAATCAGTGATAAAACTGAAAACTTTCAGCTGAACTTTATTTTTATGGTACAAGAATTATCATGTTCAGTAAAAAAACTAGCTGTAAGTTGAATCTAAGTTTCAAATGGACAGCAACTGCCTGTTGTAGAAACCTACAAATGTAGAGGACGACGTTTCGAAAGGCTCCCGCCTTTAGGTCAGTGTATGTATGGTGTTGTCTGTCGTTATAGCATTCTGGTGGATTGTGGAGAAACAGGGATAAATCAACATGAAGACGAAAAGCGGAAGACTTTCGAAACGTCGTCCTCCACATTTGTAGGTTTCTACAACAGGCAGTTGCTGTCCATTTGAAACTTAGATTCATTATGAATACTCTGCCTAAACAACCTACCAAAGATTAGCTGTAAGTT